TCAGTTCTTCTACCCAAAAATCTTGATCACACAGAATAATACCCAAATCTTTGATCACAATCGTAAGTTGACGTAATCTTTCCAATGTTGATGAGATATTAACTAAAAGTTTCACAGAGCTAACTAATCTTTGAACATTATGAATTCTTGATCCTGATGCGTTATGACCAGGGTTATTATTTGACTTTAATTTGTCAAAGTAAGGAATCATAAAATTAATTTCTCTTTCAACATGTTCTGTATCTACATTTTTCCAAAATTCAATTGCAGCGGCACATCTAATTTCTTTCTTTTCATCATAGTCTTTACATTTAATCTGATAATTTTCAACTGCCTTTTTAAAAATATTATTCATTACTTGTTTAACCGTCAATTCTTCCGTCAATTCAGCTTGAAAGATGTTGTAAAAGGTTCGTGAGTCAATAAATGAATAGTAATCCTTCATAATTTCAATCGTTACGGAATGCATTGACCAGTGATCTTGGACATATGAGTCTTTCAGTGTTGTACTGATTGATCTTTTTGTTAAGTCGTCAAAATGCAATTGCACGTCTGTTACTAACTGAGAAGGACAGAATTTTTCATAAAATTTTTGGAGACGCTCTAAAGTTGAAATGTATGAATTACATTGATTGTAACTTTTTTCTAGAACTTCGTCTGTAATTAATTCTTCTGAATCATTTCCTACGGCGGAATTAATATAATCCTTAAGGATTTGGTTGTTACTAAAGCAAATAAATATTTTTTGAAGTAATTTTATTGTTATATCATTATTTTTAATATCCATAGCTGTACGAATCACTATTTCGTATGCTTCTTTAAAATATGTATGAGAACGCAGTTCTTGAATATCACCTCTTGCTTTAAATATGGTCGTCCAAAATTTTGCGAACCGGAATAACGAAAGTTGAAATGTTTCTATTTCATGATATTTAACTTTCTTCACTTGCTGCAAAAGGCCGAGTATAAAGCATAAAATTTCTTCACAATAACTAAATTTGAATTTCATAAATTTTATATTAATTCGGGATACGCGTAACGATCATGTGAAACTAATTTTCAAATATTTTTCATACCTATTTGAAACATTTAAAGTCGATTCGTTATCACTATTACAAATTCGCATGATAATTTTCAAGAGGCGCTCATCAGGATCCTGAACAAGAGGTCTAACTCTGGACTTTAATAAGGATGTGAAACGAGTTATTATATCCGCATGAAAGTCGTTAACGTTAATAAATGACGTAATTGAGAATATAGAGTCATCAGACAATGACGTAACGATATTATGATTCATAAACATGTTTAAAATGTCTT